GGGACGATCAGAGAAGTCAGGATCAAACCGCCTTTTTTACACAATATAGAGGAGTAACCCCTTAGGTACCACAGTGAGTATAACAAGCATGCTTTACTGCATATACAGACTGATTGTACTGTTGTGGGTTTAGTAACACTTTAAGGTAAAGAAAAACCTTGAGACTTTAGAACCACTTTAAGTCAGTCAGAGCAAACTAAAGGACTTCTATCCAGAGGGCTTATTCAAATTTGCTCAGAGATCAATGGTTTTCTACAAACGCTGGTCTCCACAAAGGAACACAGAACTCATTTGCTTTCTAGATGTTTTGCTCACGATAAAACGCAAGCGGAAGATGCATTGCGGTGCTGAAACCTGCAACATGTCTGCATTGTTCCACACCGCTCTGCTGCTCTCTACCACACCTTGTGTTTCTGTGCACCCCAGCTGAGCTGTTGTGCATAAAAATGAACACAAAGGGGGTTATTTACTAAAACTGCATGGTGCAAAATCTGGTGCAGCTCTGCATAGAAACCAATCAGTTTCTAGGTTTCATTGTCAAACCTTAATTAAACAAGGTGAAGTTAGAAGCTGATTGGCTACCATATACACCAGATTCGGGGTGCACAGGTTTTAGAAAAACTCCCCCAAAGTGACATATCAATAAAGTAAAAAAATAAATAAATGGTTAAACAGTGCCTTGTATTGTAAAAACATAAAGCACCGCCACAGAAGCCCATCCAGCACAAATAGTAACCCACACAGGTAAAACTGAATGGTTTCCTGTGCGTCTAGCATGAACCATCCCTAAGACACAATCATTATGTGATACCATTAAGTGGGGAAGTAGCCCCCCCATGAGCAAATATGGCTGCCCCATGTACATATACACCAAATCAGCCATAACATTATGACCACTGACAGGCAAAGTGAATGACATTGATTATCTCGTTCTAATTGCACCTGTAGGGTGGGTGAGACATATTCTGCAGCAAGTAAATGTTGTCTCTGAAAGTGTTTAACCGCTTCCAGTCCGGACACTTTTACCCCCTTCCTGTCCAGGCCAATTTTCAGCTTTCAGCGCTATCACACTTTGAATGACATTTGCGCGGTCATGCAACACTGTACCCATATGAATTTTTTAGCATTTGTTTGAGACAGATAAAGCTTTATTTTGGTGGTATTTAGTAACTACTGGGATTTTTATTTTTTTTGCAATGTAAATTAAAACGTCAACAAATTTTGAAAAGTGCTTTTCTTATAATATTTAGCAAATAGTATTTCATCATAAATCTTGGCCAAAATTTATTCCGTTATATTTTTAGTAAAAAAAATAACCCAACTTAGTTTATAACCAAAATTATAATTTTTAAACATTTTTTTTTACATTTTTTAATATTTATTTTTTATTCTTTTTTTTTTTTTTTTTTCATAATGTCACCCTAGCAGTACAGTGTCTTGTGGGGGGTGATGAAGATTTTTTCTTTTTTTTATACACTGATTGCTTTTACACCCATAAAGGATGTAAAAGCAATAATTTCTCCTCTCTAGCTGCATTCTTGCAGCCATTGAGAACTACTGAGTGAGCTGTGATTGGTCACAGCTTGTCACATGGTACAAGGCTGTTGTGAATAGCCTTGTACCATGTGACCTCTGTGATCATTCACAGATTTCACACGTAGTAAGCAATGATGTCACAAGTGATATCTTGCTTACTACTCTGCATGTGATCACTGATGGCCAATCAGTGATCACATGATCGGGACCTCGTACAGAGGTCCCGTCCAACGATAGGTGTTCCACTGTGTCTGGAGGACACAGCGGGCACCGGATTGCGGTGCTGCACGCTCCCAGGGAGCGCGCACAAGCAGGGTGCGGGGAGGCAGTTTATAAACGGCCACCCGACCCTGCACTGCCACCATCCAGCCGTTGTTTATAAATGGCCGAACGGGAGGTGGTTAAAGCAAAAACAAAACTGGGCAAGTGTAAGGATTTGAGCGACTTTGACAAGGGCCATATTGTAACAGATAGACGACTGGTTTCGAGCATCTTCAAACCTGCAGCTCTTGTGAAATGTTCACGATCTGCAGTGGTCAGGACCGACCAAAAGTGGCCCAAGGAAGGAAAAGCGGTGAATTTGCGACAGGATCATGGGCTGCACGTGGGGAGTATAGGCTGGCCCATGTAGTCCTAAGCCCAGCTCAGCCCTAAGAGAAAGACTTCTAGTTTTTGGTGGAAATTTTCCTACAATAAAAGCAGTAAAAATAACCACACATATTCACATATGCTTTGGTAGTTTTATGCTTCCATAGAAGTATTAAAGCTGTTCATTTTTTGTTTTTTTAATGTACATTTTTGTAACGGTTATAAACTAGAATAGTCCTCAGAAATGCTGTTGAATGTCATTTAGTTGTGTTTGTGTGTGTGTTCCGCATAACAGCTAGGGCGCTTTTTTATTTGATTTTTAGGAAAGTTATAGTTTAACTATGTGCTGTAACATTGCCATGACATCTAAACAAACCTCCAGAAAAAGACTTGGTTATGTGGTTTCCATGTATTTTATAGTCAAAACATGTAAGGTTATAAAATAGTAAACACTTTCTTCTTTCTTTTATTTCTTTCTTTTGTTACAGTATACTTCCTCCCCATCTCTGGACAAAAGTACAAAAGCACTTTGTCCCAAATTCCCATGTGCTGTGGAAGGCCAGCTACATGGTTGGACAGGAATCCCCTCTCCCCTCCCACAGACATCTGACAACGCAGCTAGCAATGAGGTGGCTGCATTGATGGTGGGTGCTTGTCTCAGGCTCCAAACACTTCTCTAAGACAAGCGCTGGTAAGAGGAATATAAGGGGGGTGGGGGTCTTGTCAGCCTCCCCTCCCATTTTCCAGTACTTGTCTTGGGACAGTGCTGGGAACCTGACACAAATACCCGCTGTAAATGCAGCCACCTCCTTGCTAGCTGTGTTGTCGTATGGCCAGCAGGGGATGTCTTCTCCAACCAAGCTAGACTTCTACAGTATGCAGGAAGAAGGGACAAAGTACTATATGTACCTTATCCTGGAGATAAAAAAAAAAAAAAAAAAAAAAAAAAAGAAATGAGACTTCTTTAACCACTTGCCCTCCTGAGGATTTTACCCCCTTCCTGACCAGGCCATTTTTGCATTACTGCGCTGCTTTACTTTAACTGACAATTGTGCGGTCATGCAACACTGCACCCAAATTAAATCTACATCCTTTTTTTCCACACGAATAGAGCTTTCTTACGGTCGTATTCGATCATCTGTGCAATTTTTTTTTTTGAGCTATAAAAAAAGACCAACAATTTTGAGAAAAAACTATGTTTTTGACTTTTTGCTACTAAACATGTCCAGTAAAAAAATTTAACAAATCAAATTTTGTCATACATTCGCACGCGCCCCCTACCCAGAGATGCAAATCATGTATATATATATGTGATTTTGTGCACCCGTGCCGCCTTGTAGCAGTATATTTGCTATAGGGTGGACGGGAAGCAGATAAAGAAGTCCTGTGGACACCATATATACTTTAATTTTACTACTGTAGTAACAATAGTTATATTTGACAATCCAACATATGTTTACTTGACAAATCTCCTTTCATGCTGTGAGTGCTGCCTGGCTGCTGGTTGTCTCTTTTCACTTCCTGAATTCCCTGCATGCTTTACATCTTCTCTGCTGTTTAATTTCAATTTATAAGGACTTCAGTTTCCAAGGGGCCTTGCTGCCTGCAAGCTGTGATTCCTGTATTGACTCCACCTCCTAAAACTCCTCCTCCCAAAACTCCTCCTCCCAGCACCTCTGTAGCTCAGAAGGCCGGCTCTGTGAAATGTGTGACACAGCAGTGCCTTCTCACAGGGCATAATGAATCTTTGTCACTGAATTTAAGGAAGGAAATGTGTGGGGGATCTTCACAAACTAAGATTACAAAATTCAACATCGTTGATATTAACCACTTACTGTCCATAGGATGTACTCATACATCCTTGGATGGAAAGGGTGATACACAAAAAAGTGTAGGGCAGCAGCGTGCCCCCAAAAAGGAAGTTATTCTGCAGATCAGGCAGCTTAAAGCGGAGTTCCACTCTGTAAAAAAATAATTTAGCAGCTACAAAAGCTGTAGCTGCTGACTTTTAAAAAACAGCCACTCACCTGTCCCATGATCCTGCGTTGCCCCCGCCACAGCCCGTATTCCTGTATTCCAGGCGCCAGTATCTTCAGTGTGGGTACCTGGCTGTGACAGCTTGCGGCTTCACAGCCGGATGCCCACTGTGCATGTGCTGCTCTTTGTGAATGGTCCCATAGTTTTCTGGGACCTGTCACGTGTCCCAGAAGACTACGGGGAGGGAGGGGGATGACAACTTCTGCTTGCGATCGCCTAGGCGATCGCAGCGGAAGTGGGAGCAGGTACCTGTTAAATTCGGATACCCGCTCCCCCCCTGCTCCCCAAAGGTGTCAATCCTTAACCACTTGCCTACCGGGCACTTATACCCCCTTCCTTACCAGGCCAATTTTCAGCTTTCAGCGCTGCCGCACTTTGATTGACAATTGCGCGGTCATGCAACATTGTACCCATATGAAATTTTTGATCATTTTTTTCTCACAAATAGAGCTTTCTTTTGGTGGTATTTAATCGCCACTGGGCGCTTTACTTTTTGCGCTATAAATTAAAAAAGTGCAAAAAATTTGAAAAAAAAAAAAAAGTTTATTTGTATCTTTTATAAAATTTTTCAAACAGGTATTTTTTCTCCTTCACTGATTTGCGTTGATGAGGCGGCACTGATGGGCACTGATAGGCGGCACTGATGGGCACTGATAGGCAGCACTAAAGGGCACTGATAGGCAGTACTAATGAGGTGGCACGGATAGGCGGCACTGATAGACAGCACTAATTAGGGGTCACGGATAGGCGGCACTGATATGCGGCACTGATAGGCGGCACTGATAGGTGACAATGATGATGGTACTGATAGACGGCACTGACTGGCATCACTTCTGGGCACTGACTGGCGGCACTGACTGGCACAACCCCTGGGCACTGACTGGTGGCACTGACTGGCAGCACTGCTGGGCTGCACTGGTGGATGGCACTGGTGGGTGGGCACAGGTGGGTGGCACTGGTGGGCACAGGTGGGTGGCACTGGTGGGCACAGGTGGGTGGCACTGCTGCTGGCACATGTAGGTGGCACTTCTGGGCACAGGTAGGTGGCACTGCAGAGTGGCACAGGTGGGTGCACTGCTGGGCACAGGTGGGGGCACTGCTGGGCACAGGTGGGGGCACTGCTGGGAACGGTGTGGGCGGGGCTAGTGGGCGCACTGCTGGGCGGAACTTGCGGGTGTCACTGCTGGGCACCGATCATCAGGGCACTGATCATCAGTGCCCTGATGATCGGTGCCGATCCCCGCTCTGACAACTGCCGGTTCTCGGCAGTACTTTCCTCACGATCTGACAGCGTGAGGAAAGTGCAGCCGAGAACCGGCACTTGCATTTCCCTGTGATCAGCGTGTCATTGGACACCGCTGATCACGTGGTAAAAGGCCGGTGGGATCGGCCTTTCACCACATCACGTGATCAGCTGTGTCCGTAGGACACAGCGATCACGGAGAGATCGCCGGGGTGCGCGCCCCCTGGGGCGCGCAGGAGAGCGCGTTCTGGGAGGACGTCATATGACGTCCACTCAGAACTGGCCGGCCGCGGTGAAGCCGTCATTCGGCTATGCGCGGTCGGCAAGAGGTTATTAATGGGGAGCGGGGGACAAAGGCTTATAGCGGAACTTCCCCTTTTGGGTGGAGCTCCGCTTTAACTTTCCGGGATAGTAACCGTCATATCCAGTCCTAGTAATCCTGGCTGTGGGTAAATATTGTAGTATGCCAAGATGAATAGCATAGATGTAGTGTGGCCAAGATCAGTCCAATCAGCCCACGAACATTGGAAAGTCCACTAAAAAGTATTGGGTCAATTCCAGGTGTATATAAAAGGATCCACACCGGGATATAACAAGTCTGCACCTTAGAACCGTCCCACTGTGCTCACATGCAAAGACGAACACATGCGTCAGTCCCGCACGCATATGTAAATGGAAATCGCACTACACGCCTGAGGTATCACTGCGAACGTCAGAGTGAGAGCAATAATTCTAGCGCCAGACCTGTTGTGTAACTCTAAACTAGTAATCAGTAAAGGCTTTTAAAGCATCGCCAGTGGAGAATTTTAGGTACCCTAGTTTAGCCCCATTTCAAGGCCGTATGCAATTTTAAAGCTTGACATGTTTGGTATCTACTTACTTGGTGTAACATCATCTTTTATATTTTGCCAAAACATTGGGTATTGTGTTTTTGTACATTAACATTCATTAACCACTAGCCTACAGGGCACTTATACCCCCTTCCTGCCCAGGCCAATTTCGAGCTTTCAGCGCTGTCACACTTTGAATGACAATTGCGCGGTCATGCAACACTGTACCCATATGAAATTTTTATAATTTTTTTTTAGACAGATAGAGCTTTCTTTTGGTGGTATTTAATCACCTCTGGGATTTTTATTTTTTCTTAAACCAAAAACCACTGAAAATTTTGAAAAAAAAACCTTTTTTCTTAGTTTTTGTTATACAATTTTGTAAATAAGTGATTTTTCTCCTTCACTGATGTGCGCTAATGAGGTTGCAGTGATGGGCTGCACTGATGGACACTGATGAGAGGCACTGGTAGGTTGCACTGACGGGCATTGACAGGCATCACTGATGGGCACTGAAAGTCAGCACTGATACCTGACACTGATATATGGCACTGTTAGGCGGCACTGATGTGCACTGTTAGGCGGCAACTGATGTGCACTGTTAGGCGGCACTGATGTGCACTGTTAGGCGGCACTGATGTGCACTGTTAGGCGGCACTGATGTGCACTGTTAGGCGGCATTGATGTGCACTGATAGGTGGCACTGACTGGCACTGATGGGTGACATTGAAAGGCAGCTCAGATGAGCACTGATAGGTGGCATTGATGTGCACTAGTGTGACACTGAAATATGATGAGCATGATGATGTGGCACTGATGGGCACTAGTGGCACGTGGCACTGATGAGCACTGACTGCTGGCACTGATGGACACTGACAGGTGGCCCTTCTGGGGCCACACTGATCATCAGGGCACACTGATCATCAGTGCCCTGATGATCAGTGTACATGTCCCCTCCACAGAAAGCCAATTACCGGCTCTTCTCTCCTCTCGAGCTGTCAGCGTGACAGCTCGAGAGGAGAGGAATGCTGATAACCGGCATTTCTGTGTTTACATGTGATCAGCTGTGATTGGACACAGCTGATCACATGACCGAGCCGACATCTTCGGCTCTTTCCGCATGCGCGGTGAGAATGGAGAGAACCACCTTGCGCCCGTCATTGTACTATATGGCAGGCAGAAGGTGATTAAAGTGTATTTTTTTTTAAACAATTTGCATTTGATAACCCTCTACGAAAATACCATGTGATATAAAATTATGCAACACTCACCATTGTTTCTCTAGGGCCTCTGCTTTTAAATATTTAATGTTTGGGGATTCTAAGTAGTTTTCTAGCAAAGAAATAATGTTTTTTACTTGAAGGAGAGGAATATCAGAATTGGCACAGGCCAATGGGAATAGGAATAGGCTAGAAATAATTGAAATACAGATGAATATATGATTTTACATTTTGACCATAGATACACTTTAAGATGTAGAAGGTAGAGCTTACACTGTTTTGCTTCCTCTGAAGTTTTTGCTTTTCTATGTTCCCTTATCGCACGGTCCCCCAATTGCTGGCTTGATTCCTGTTTTGAAGGTGGCCCCTTGGCTTGCAGGGTCCGCTGCCTGTGCTTTACATGCAAAGACAGCCAAGTGTAATAGTACAAATAACTCACAGACTAGACGGTGGGAATAGAACAGGCTGATAACTCGTCAGGATCCCAGAAGTATGAACCCAGACTGGGAAAGGTCCTTAGATGACAATGTAAACACAAGCAAATCACAGCTGGACCGTGAGACTAGAGCGGGGTAATAACAGCTGTCAAGAGACTTATACAAATGGAAACAGCAGGGTTAATGTAAGAATCTGGGATAAACCTAACTGGTCTTCAGGATTCCTCCTCCCCCTCCTAACACCTATGCTCACTAACCTGTGTAAACAAGTTCTGTATACTTAGCTATTTTCAGGCCTCTCCAGTCCAGGCACATGATCCGGCTCCCCTTTGTAAGTCAGCAGCAGCTGCAAGGGAAAGGAGTGGCGACAATGGATGGGCTATAGGAGCCTGTAGGTGATGTCACTGCTCAGGCATAACCAGCTGTTGTCGTAGCAAGCTGCTTGCTTTGGGGGCACCCGACAGGAGGGAGAGGTCAGGAGAGTCTGCGGGGGATCCGAGAAAAAGGAGGATCCAGGCTGCTCCGTGCAAAACCACTGCACACAGTAGGTAAGTATAGACATGGCAGTGTCGTAGGCAATGACATAGGGTCCCCGTTGGAAGATTTCCCCTCTATTCCTGTTCTGGTGCCAACGATAGGACAAATAGAGTGAATTTCCTTAACAGGGACACAGATAGAAATATTATAAACCTGATATGGGTTCTAATCCATCTCCACCTTTTGCAACATGTTATATGTTACACCCATATTCAGGGTGTACCATATAAAACATTACAAATGCACGCCCACCCCCCCAAAAAAAAAAATTCCCTGTTTTGACATCCAGCAGGGGATCTTCTCCCTACGCTTGCTGTTACAAACTTAATAAAAAAGAAAAAAAATGGCCACGCTGGGCTACATCCGCCCAGCCAGGTCATGCATTCAGTGTTCTGTGAATGCAAAAACTACAAGTCCCAACAGCCTTTGCAGCTGTTGGCTTGTAGTTCTCAATGGACTACCAGAGCGCTGTTGATCACTCTAGGTAGTTCATTGAGCTTCCTGTCAGAATGTAACTGCCTGCCTATATCGGAGGCATGGGCGGACATACACAGACAGTCTGCAGGACCGTGGCATTACACCCATGATCTGCTGATTGCGGGTGCAATCCTTTACAGTTCCCTAACAAAAAAAATAAATTGATATTTTTGTACCTGCAGAAAAGTGCATTTATTTATTTATTTTGTAAAAGTGAACTTATCCATTATCTGTGCCAATTCTGTATCGAACAGAAATATGGGAGGTGGCATTACTGATTTGGGTTTGCAGGTAGTATTACATAGAAATGATAGCATGCCATGATTTGATATTTGTTTTCTGTTTGCATTCTTCAGCTCTTGAAATACCTGTTTTTGCATCTCCCACAACAACCATAGTTAACTATTATGTGTTGTGCCTTCCTATAACCTGTGCTCTGGCTTCAATAGAATTTGTGCCAAGATAGGTTGGTACTTTGTTGAAAACGCTCAAAGTTTTTTTTTATCTTCATGCTTTTAATGCATGAAGGTAAAAAACCTTCTGTGTGCAGCAGTGCCCCGAGCCCTTTCCAGCGATGTTCTCAAGAGCCTCGGCTCTCCCAGGTCTCTCACTCCTCTTTAGCTGAGACAGCAGCAGTAGCCATTGGCTCCCACTATTGTCAATCACAGCCAATGAGGAGAGAACAGGGCCGAGCTGCTCTGTGTGTGTGACTGGATACACAGAGCAGCAGCTCGGGAGCCACCGTAGAATGCTGCTTGTTGTGGGGGCACTTGGAAGAAGGTGGGGGCACTTGGAAGAAGGAAGGGGCCTGGAGCGATGGCAGTGGACCCTAGAAGAGGAGGATCGGGGCTGCTCTGTGCCAAACCACAGAGCGGATAAGTATACCATGTTTGTTATTTAAAACAAAAAAAAAAACAGCAAAACAAGCCTTTATCACTTTAAACAGACCCTTTCAGGGAGTGGAAAACAAATCAGCAGTGTCCTGAGAACTTGTGTCCTGTAGCAGGACTCTTGTCTGCGATCCTATTCTACATTTTGGGCTTTGTGGGAAGGTGTGTATCCCGCTGCCTGCTCTGTACTGCCCATATGAAATGTTTGTCATTTTGTTTGAGACAGGTAGTGCTTTCTTTTGGTGGTATTTAAACGAAAAAAGATTGAAAATTGAGGAAAAAAAAAGTTTTAATTAGCTTCTGTTATAAAATTTTGCAAATAAACAATTTTTCTTCACTGATGGGCACTGATGAGGCAGCAGTGATATGCTGAACTGATGGATGCTAATAGGCTGCACTGATAATCAAGGCACTGATGATCAGTGGCCTGATTATAAGTGTAAATGCGTGCTGTCAGGATTTCCAGTTATCAGTGACATCTCTGGAGGAAAGGAAATGCTGATAACCGACAAGTTTATTTACACGTGATCAGCTGTGATTGGACACAACTGATCACACTGTAAAGGGCTGCTGTGATTGTCCCTTTATTGTTCAAAGGACACATTGATCACAGAGCGTGCCTAGGGTTACGCAGGGGGCGGGGTTCTGGAAGACTATAGATGGTCTATAGACACCCTCCCAGAACTAGACGACCACAATGTAGCTGTCTTTTGGCAATGGCACGGTCGGGAGGTGGTTAGAAGTTGAAGTCTCACTTCAATTTTTATTAAATTGGAACTACAGTCTAAAATTAAAAAAAAAAAAAAAACTGTGAACAGGCATGCTTTTTATGGCAGAAGAGCCCTGCATTGTCTCCTCTGCAATAAAATAAACCTGCCTATCTGCTCACAGTTTTCTGTTGAATATACACTGTGCTGACATCATCCTGTACCAGCCAATAAAGTTGGTCGTAGACTGGCAAACGGAAGAAGACGGGCAGAAGATGCCGGTGAGGGATCTCATGAGCATCTGACAGTTTAAGCAGAGGTAAGTATTGCAGACTTTATTTCTGCTTTAATATGTTTTGTCCCATTGTTCTTTGTGCTGTCTAAGGCTTGGTGTAAGGTTGGACAGGGTGCCCCTCCTCCCTCCACGTTTGACAATGCAGCTAGCAAGGAGAAGGCACTTTTCTCTGTCTCCAAGCACTTGCGCTTTTAGCCGGGATCATTTTAGCTTCTCTCTCTTCCTTGTGGGATGCAAGTCTGTGTAAGGTGCTTGGAGATCGTGAAAAGTGCCATCTGTCAAAGTAGCCGTCTCCTTGCTAATTGCGTTGTTGGAATGTTGCGGAGGGAGGAGAGGCGCCTTATCTGACCTCACAGCTAGGCTTGGACCTCACATAGGAAAATGGGACAAAGCACCACATGATCTTGTCCCCTGGGGAACAACAGGGCAATAAAAATTAAAGCAAAACATCTTTAAAGTTACTTGCAGGCACCACAAGGTTAGTTTTGGACTGTCAGGTTCACTTTAATTTCAAGTAGACAAATAACTGCCTTGATTGGGTGGAGGGCTCTTCGTAGTTAGGGTTTGCCTATTAGTCCTGTGTAATTATTTGTTATGTTATTGAGTTTTTCATTAGGGATGCACCAAAATGTTGGCGGCTGAAACATATCAGCTGGAAATAGCCCTGTCGGCATTTTAGAGATAGGAAAAATGTAGCCGATACAGGGGGCTATGTGTACTGCAGATGTCGGGGGGGGGGGGGGGGGAGAGGAGCAATGTATACAGTGAGCTACCGCTATATGTCATTGGCAGTTAATAAATGTAATTACCGGCTTTTTTTTTCCCCTTCACAGTAGCTTCCTGCTGCTGAAGGAAACAACGGGGCGGGGTCACTGGGTAATGTCACGGGGTGACTCTGTCCTTTTGTTTCCTTTAGGGGCAGGGAGAATGATAGCTCCTTTTTGGAGCTATAGTGAAGGGAAACAAAGACGCTAAATACATTTAAAAACCGCCATTGACATATATCGGCAGCCATTGAGGGAGCCTGGGTGTACACACTGCTCCCCTCCCCCCTACAAAGAGGACCTGTCACTCCTATACTATCACATAGGGGACTATTGGTACCCTATGTGATTTGCAATAAAATCAAAAGTTAAAAAAATAAAAATACACATTAA